CTTTTTAAATTTTTGGCAAACGTGACATGAAGATTCTAAGGTGAGAGCAGAGAAGGTCAGATGTGCACAGATTAACTGTGGCAAAAAGTAGGCCAAGTAGGCCATAATCCATGAGGGTTATCCTTTTGTTGTTTTTACATTATTGGCATCATTTTGTTTTCACCATAAGAAATATATAAATGTTTACCCTACTTTTATATTATTCCTTTATCATTAAAACACATCACTGTCGTCACTGCAGACACAATGACACGATAATCAATTAAAAGGAACAAGCTCATAGTATTCTTGTCTGAGTAGGGTTGGACACACTGCACATCGTCACTGCAGACACAATGACACGATACAGTACCCCATCAAACAGAAAAGAGAAAATTTACATCACCGCTTAACAAAGCAGATGATTTAATACTTAGAAATAAATACACTAGGTAACCTTCAGTAGTAATTCTTTTGGTGCACACATAAGATAAAAACAGAGAGTATAGTAAGGGAGCCACATGACGGAGCTGTGACCCCCGTAACAGTGCAGTGACCCTTGTGTTTGAACTCTTTTTTTTTAGGTCTTTTTTTTAACCTACAGAACTGACAAAGAAAGATGACAGAAAGTTGTGAGAAACAGATAAGATAAAGACAAAAAAGAAAAAGAAAAGACAGAAGAGAGGGATGGTGTTGTGTCCGTCTTCATTGACAGCAGTGGCAGCAGCATCAACAGTAGCATCAGCAGTGTCAGTAATGAGGAGGGACGGTCTGCAGGGCGTCCCGTGTGGTACGATGGATGTTGACATTCTGGACAGAAGAACACAGTGGAGCAGGGTTTTAGTTTTCACACAATTAAATACAAAAATACAAAATATCATTTTTTTACACTGTTGTAAAAGCACTGATAAATTGTACATGTGTAGAAATGTAAGCTGCAAATAGTGTTTTCAATTTAGCAGTTACCATTGCATTACTAGGTTTGTCTACTGTGGAACCAGCTAGAACCTAGAAACACCTGAAAACGTTTTCTTTGTTTAGACACAAGATTTGTTTTGTAAAAAATGTTTACAATTGTTCATTAGATCAGGCAAATTGGTTTAAAAAGTACATAGAATAAAAAAGAGAGCTGAAAATAAAGGTACTGTAAAAACTACAGTGCCTTCAACCCTGTCAGTCCCACTGTCTGTGACCAATAATTGTTTCCCAAAGTTGAGGAACCAAACCATTGGGTGGTGCAGACTTATTGCAATGAGGCTACAGTAGGTCACATTTATGTAATATTTTTTATTTATGCCACAATGGGAAAATAAATTCACTGACTTTTTTTCCATGAGAAAATTGCTTTCAGGAATTAGTGTTTCAAATAAAGTTCAGTGGAGTTTTAAAGCAACAGTTGTGAATGGGGTGGGAGGGGCTTGAAACTCACATCTACTATAGGGAAAGTAGGGGGGGGGGGCACTACAAAACAATAAAGGAAGTTCTGATTAGACTTGATCACTATTTGTTTCACCAGTATATCATGCCACCCGTGGAAGCTGCTTCCTCACAGAGAAGGAAATGTGTGCTTCTGTGTTGGGACACAAAAGGTCTTATTCAGAACGTTAAAAGTCTTTTTAAAATGATGAATTTATAAAAGTGGGTTTGAGGGGGCAGTGGGAGCATCTTTTTACACACCAACACACACACATCTATATACAAAAAGATGGGAGGGATATGAAAAAGCTTTTTTGTCAGTGGCCAAGACAGAGAACTGTTTGTCCAGCAGCTGTGACATGCTTTAAAAATGCAATTTGACTCAAGGGTAATCGGGCCAAACCCACAGATTCCTCTAATACAGTAAATCTGCATGAATCAAAAATATATAATCTACTGCATAGTAAAGCTTTAAATATATATATGAATATATATATTTATTTATCCCAACAGTCTTTTTCTTTAAAAACAACATTAATCAGTTTAAAGGACCTTAAATGGTCCTGTCAAGAATGACAGTTATCAAAATAAAGTTCAAATCAAGCTGGTAGAAAGACATGAAAAAAGTTTAAATTTAGTTTATTAAGAACCAGTAAACACAAGTATTGTATTGCCATTGTTGAGTGAGTGGTATGTTCTTCCTGCAGATAAGTTTCACATTGTGCAATAAGTGTTACTACACTTCCACAGTCTTCATTCAGCATTAAACATTCTACATTTTAAAGAAAGACTATGTATAGTGTTTCTAACAATGTAAACAGAGTTAACGTCTTGTGTAAAACGCAACAAAAAAGCACACCCGTGTAAGTTGTGCAAAATCTGTTAGTTTTGTAAATCTATAATATGATCACATACTGACAAAACATTGATAAATTAGAGAAAGAAATGAGAACAAACTAAAACAGAAAAAGGTGCTGAAGTTAATATTACCTCACAGTTTCACCAATAGATTAAAATTAAAGAATAAAAAATAAATCTGATTTTCTTTCATTGTCCATTACAAGGCGAATCAAGTTGACACAAAACTTGTGTCATTGGATTCAAGAGTTGAAACTGGATTCCAGTCAATTTTACCAACAGAAGATTAAAAAAAAAAAACCCAACAGGTACGAGCGACGACATTTGGGCAGAAACGCTGTGCGTCAGTAACGTACTGTGTGGGTAATACAGGGTGATGGGGTGAGTGAGCGGGAAAAAGGTGAGGGAGGGAGGGAGGGAGGTGCACTGCCTCATTGGTGAGCTGGCACTGTTTGCAAAGCCTCCTCTGACATCCGCGACACCTCTACGTTCTGTTTGTGAAGAGCACAGAGAGTGGGGAGTGAACAACACACGCGAGATATGAAATCCGACACACACTGCAGCCTGACAGACGCCATCGGTCTGAATTATACAGCCCAAACAGCAGAACAGGTTTTAAATTAATAATAATACATTTTACTAAGTGTCAACTGGAGGCCCATTTTTGAGTGTATCCACAGTAATTATAATCAAGTCACAAATACCAAAGTATGTCACGGGGTCCCACAAGGTTCTATGCCAAGAGCCATTCGGTTTTTGCCCCCTCCCCCAATGTTCTGTTACTAAATTCAGTTGGTTTTTATGCACACATACGTATGTCCTTGTCGATAAAAATCATGTGAAACAAATCGATGAACACAGTATGTGTGTGTGTGTGTGTATGTGTGTGTGTTTTGTACCCACCTCTGGTTTTTCTCTGTGTGTGTCAACTGCCTCCACATTTAAGCAGATTGACTCTACTTTACATCCTGGGCCCAAAAGAAGGGAAGAATAATAGTTTGAAACACAGCGGTAGTGACATCACCGAATAATAAGACAACGTATTCAGTACAAGTTTGGGTCAATGTGTAAAGTGCTTTGCTAGAAGTCCAGTCCTACCATAGGCAATTGGTGTGAGCTTCAGTACAGTATGCAACGGGCACTTCAAGTATGGCAGTTCTTCTTTGCGATGAGAAAAGGAAAAACAGTTTATGACACATTGATTTAATTAAATTTAAAAAATCAGCTGCTCTGATTCTAGCCACTCCCTCATTTCCACACTGGTCCCACTAACGCTGAGCTAAAAACTCACCCGCCGTCTTATCTAAGAAATACGCCAATAGGCAACGCATGACAGCCTGGTGACAGATGACGAGGACGTTCTCCTGCCTCTCCAGCTCCATGATGACTGGCTCTAATCGTTGAACGAGGTCTTCGTAGGACTGTTGGATTTCAAAAACAGACATTCAAAGTCAGATCAAACTATTTGGTCTTTTATGTGTAGTTCTGTAATGAAAAAAACAAACAAACAAAAAAAACAGCACCACTGTCTTTTTTTTTTGAAGAAGAAAATGTAAGGTCAGGCTGAGCAGAGACAACACAAACATCACAAACTAACTGCAGACGAAAGAGCATCTCACATCTGTCCACCTAAACTTCCAGCCAATTACACTCACACGGACACACTAATATTTTAAGAAGGGGAAAAACCTCTTCAGTCTGTCTTGGCCCTTCCTGTCTTAAACGAACTCCCCAACAGCACAAGCATCAGCTCAGTCTGTCTAAACAGCCAGTAATGACCACACTGATCTGCCTGACAAGGATTAATGGACAGGTAATGGAAAAGGCTCTAACGGACTGAAGGTGAAAACAGACTGACGAACACTCACACACTACATTGAAAGCTAAGAGTGTGGCTCTTACTAGTCAGGCTGAGAGTTTACTAGGTTAGTAGTTGCTAACAGTCCAGAAGACCTTTAAAAGAGGTTTAAACATCATAATAAAAAAAAAAAGACCAAATTATTAAAATCAACCGAGGGTGTGAGTTGGTCAAACGTAAAAACATTCTTTGGTGCATGAACAGTTGACATATCTCCATTTAGACACTGTACTGTAATCACATTAGTGGCACAGACGCCATGCTTGTTTCACTGGAGAACTCCTGCCTAGTTTGTCAATGAGTGTGTCAGCAGACAGCTTTTATATTCATGTAGAATGATGTAAACAAGAGACAGTTTCCTTCTGTTTTTACATTTTGCTTAAAAAGGTATTTTTAACTTTTTTTTTTTTTTTTTTAAAAAGGTATTTTTAACTTCTTTTTTTTTTTTTTACAACATGCTCAGTTATAATTAGCAAACCGATGCCCACTTTATTTGTAATATTGTTTTGTGTGGATTTGAAGCCACTTTCACGCCACACAAATGAAATACTCTGTTGCTGACCTCTCCCTTTGGGTAGCGATAGCGGTACTTGTCCTGGTCTCTCAAGGCAAACTCCAGAGGATAGTTCTCCTGGATCTCCTCATACATCATCTCCTCACACTCCCCCTGAAAATCAAACATCAAACTGCGTTAACTCCAAGTTTAACTCCAACCAGCAGCGCAGTCCAGCATGCTACTTACTGCATCAATCTCGTTTAAGACTTTCCACTGTTCGTAGGGCACACCGAGGCCCTCTGCTGTCTGGATGGTTCTCTTCATCTGACTGGTCCACACCTTGAGGTCATTGATACCTTGTGTCTGAATAAAGTGGCCGAGTTTCTCTGCAAACTACGAAAAAATGACATTTTGTTTTTATCTCATCTTTCCAGTAAAAAGGCAGCACTCCTGTGGTGTTTTGGTTGAAGGTGTTTCCGTACCACTTTTCCTCTAGGAGTAAGACCCGAATCTCCCCCGATGCGTCCCTTGACGTTCAGCTCACTCTCACCGTGACGACACAGGTATATTGAGCGTGGCGTGATGTGGATGTTCATGAGGTAGTAGACGATACGGCTCTGGATGTGATCCATCACACGGTTGACTAGATAACGCTGACCCACATCCATGATTTTGATGAAAGACAGATCCCTGTATGTAGATATGGTTAAAAAAAACTTAATGACTTTTCACTTTTTCACTTTGTCCCAGTTAGGTTAACAAAACTAACTTTTAGAAGTAGCTTAACTAATGATTTAGAAACTCTTTTTTAGTTTCACCCTCACCTGTCCAGAACTTCATCCAGGGTCTCGTAGGAGTTTTCATAACACTTGATTCTCTTCATGAAGTCCTCCACTGCATCCTCCGTGTCACAGTTGGTGTAGTCAGGGCTTCCCAGCTTCACTTGCTGAGAGAGTAAAAGGCGGCAAGTAAATAAAGAGGTTTACTCTTCCGAGAGATGAAATTTTAAAATAGAATCAGCCACTGACCACGATGTTCTCTTGTATGACGTCTGGGTCTTCACACACAGACTCTACAAAGAACACCTGGGACGAAAAAGAAATTGACAGAAACATTTATAAACAAGACATCAGTGTTTGCATTTGGTCTTTAAAACAAACAAAAAAAAATGTTGTTAGTATCTGAACCCACACCCGTGAATCACCTTAAAGCCGTTCTGCTCAGCAAACTGAATGATTGTTTCTCTTCTCTCTCTGGTCGTGTTTGTTGCATCGAACACCTGACAAAACAGAGCAGCAGATGCCGAGCTTTTACACACTGTGTTCAGCCAGGACTGTTCAACTACTACAACAATAAACATTTGACTTACTGCAACTTGTCCTCCGTCTTCTGTGAGGTACTGTCTCACATCATTCAGCGCCGCAGAAGCACATTGTCTGCAGAGACAGACAATACTGTTCATAACTGTCACACAGTGGCAGATTACGCACGTGTATGACTAAAATGCAACGCCACAAGTCCCTCTTACCGCCTGATCTCTAAACCTTCTTCATTGTCCGGACTGAAGAACTCAAACGACTTGTAGATTTTTACAAACTCTCGTCTGTACTGGCCAACATTGAACTCTGGAGGATTAAAAAAAAAAAGGACAAATGAAAACTCAGAAAAATAATTCTGAACTGAAAATAAATGTTTTTGCAGTCCAATTAGAACCACTAAAAAAATCTTAAACATGCACTCTGCCTAAAAAGGACTGAGCACTTTGTGCAGCTTCACCTTTGCTCCAACTGTACAGTCCTTTACAAGCTACAAGTCATAAACCAAAGATTGGAAACAAATTTGACTAAAGTTGAACTGCACAAACCCTTGTGAAAGACATTTCCTTAACTGAATATTTCTCTATTACAGCTCATCAGACAGCCAGCTTCACTGGAGCCAACTATGTTAGCTGTCATACCTCTGGTGGGCACATCGATCCAGTTTAGATAGCGGGTCAGTTTCTTGGAGATGTACGTCTTCCCTCTGGCTGGAAGGCCCACTGTTACAATCAGGGTAGGACAGTTGGTCATACAAACTGAAATGAGACAAACAAAAAGAAATAAAACTTCATGTCAGTCATATCACACACAATAAATACAATCTCCAAAAAGTCCAAAGAGTAGCTCTGGTTTTACAGCTGGCTCATGTCACAATTCCACTTTTATATTTTTATTATAACTATTTTTTTTTGCATTGTAATAATGTTTTACAATGACAATAATTTTATGTTTTTACTGTTCACTTAGTGGTGTCATACAAAGAAAAACCTTCCTAGAACCTACAACGTGAGGGGTAAAAATTAAATAAATTATTTAGGAAAATTAGGAAAATGATAATTTGGTACGATGTGAGAAAAATCCAATTCTCCAAAGCTGTACATGAAACAGCTAAAAAATGTGTCAGCAAAAAAGCTTTTTTTCAACTGAAATGGTTTTTATCATTGCTGGCCCCCTCCAGCAACTCTTTAACAACTTTACCAAGACAATATGTAAAAAGATATTCCCGGAGTGCTTCCTAAGATGATTTATTTTAAAGAATGAAGTTTGGAGTTGCATGACAGCGTTTCCAGTGTCTCCACAAAAGACTTCACACGCCTCTGGTTCTCAGTCTAAAGAAGAATGCGAGAGCACTCTCACTTCTCTCCGTATGAGTCCTGGATGCTGTAGCTAGGAGACATGTGTACTGTACTCCTTACTGCTTGTCCTCACCTTAAGATTACCGCGGTAACGTTTTCTACATCGCCAGCGCAGGAGCAACGTTTAAAAACACACCACAGATCATTTTAAAACTCTACTGTACGTTAATTCATCGTCGACTAAACGCATGGCGAGGAAAGGGTGAGACCGTGTTCAAACATCCGACCAGCAAGAACTGAACAAACCGCTACACTCCTGCATGCTGCAGCCATGTCGCCTGCTACGCACCCTTTCTCTGAGCAATGTGTTTCTCTGGAAGGCCATTTTTATACGGCATCCAGATCTTCTTTAGCGGATTCTGCGTCAGCTCTCGAGGATTCGACGCGGTCTGGTCCTCCATTCCGTCTGCCGGCGGTGTGCTGGAGTTTTCCGCGGCGGAAACACGGGACTTTTTCCCGTGATGTTGCTCTGAAGGTGACCGGTGCTTCATCCGAGCAGCTGCCAGATAGATCGCTGGAGTAGGATGGATAGTGGGATGTATGAATAAACCCCGGGTGCTTTTCCTTAGTGCGGGGAACACGTGATTACATCGTACCACGCGCCGCTTTACCGTATTAACTGCAGTGAAGACGCCCTGTTTGAGCCCGGTCGTATACTGTAACAGTGACAATTACGCACCTAAAACGCGCCCAGACTTTTGGTAAAGAATAAAGGCAAACATCATGACTTTTATATAGCGGCGAGTGACTAAAGAATCACAGGTAACATTTTTCCCACGCATAACATTTGGCAGGCGGTAAATGGTTGTGTTATACGGATGTAGTTAAACAGAAAACCTACTTCCGCCTTATTGTCAACAAAAGCTCCTTCGCTGATATACGTCATGTTTACGATTAACTGACTCGCCACAATCCTTAGTTAAAACAGGGCTGGCTCTATTTCGAGTTGGAAAGTGAAAAGGTACAGGATGTGGTGTTGTAGAATCAAACCGTTTACTACAAGAGTTGTCATTCATGAATTTAAGAAACAATGTTAACATTTACAACACAAAACAAAAAGTTTTCATATGCCACTACCGGTAAGTGCCGTTAGATGGCGACACATTCTTTTTCCTCCTCTTTGCCTATTATTCATGTCTGAGAAGAACCACTTTTAAAACTCCTGCACCTTTTTCAAAGTGTCATTTAGCTGTATGATAAAGACACAGTTTCGTGAGAATCTATTTAAATGACCCAATGTTTGATAAAAAAGGCATAATGTAAGCTTCTGCCCTTTATTTAAAGGTATTATTAAATAAAAATAAATGAAAAAAGGGTACCTAAGATCCACATGATCCAACACCCAGTTCTATCAAAAAGGTAAATGTTGGCCTGTACTTTCAAACCATTTTTTAAGTCCAATGACCAATCGAAGCATTTTGCACCACAGCTTTCCACATCTTTCCACCGATAGTAAGGCTGCAAAAAAGGTCGCTATATAAACTACCAAGATTGAAATTGAACAACAACTAAGTGTAAGAAACCTGCACTAATAAATAATAAATACAATTTCTTCATGCTTCCATTTTAATTCAAAACATTCTTAGGCAAGCAGACAAAGACATAATACCCCAGAGTTATCATTTATTTAGATTGACTATCTTGACAGCAGCATCAGATCATGATATACTAAAATACACCTGCTGTTCACACTCCATCAATGATAACTGTTTCTAGATTATGCTGATTTTCTTTAAATAAATTATTATACTAACATAAAAGCCTTTAAGCACATTTCTTAAACTTTACTTTGACGATTACCTAAATAGCACAAAGTCAGCTGTCACAGGCAACGGCACTGGATAGATGACTCCATCACTGAGGCACAGAGTCAGTCATTTTCAAAGTTAAATATTGACACTGATCTGGAAACAGTCAGTGCTTTTACATCCCTGACAATGATGAGTGTAATTCTATCTCCAGCCAACGTCCTGTATCTGTCATTCCATTCAGAATAAAAAATAAAAAAAAAGGAGAAACTATTGTAGACAATTAATATAATTATATCTCCTGACATTTCACTTCTTTAAAAAATATTTTATCCATTCAGGGTTTGCTTTTTTTAACAACTAATTTCGTATTTAAGTAGACTTATGATTGTGTTTTCATTAGATGTTCAGTTTATCTTTTGTCAGGGGTGACATAGTGTAAAAAGTGTTTAGGGATTTTGCCTTACAGCAAGAAGATTGTGAGTCTGTCCCCAGTGGTAACTGAGGGTAATTAAAGATTTAAAGTGAATTATTGACACATGTAGGTTTACTCCCACAGCAAAAATATCCTTCATTAGATAATTCTTTTATAGTTACAGTGAAATATAGAAAAATATTTGTAGCCAAGCATTTGTCTATTGGACAATGGACAACTCTGAGAAAATATTCCTTACATGTGTTCTGTGAGCCAAGCCATTAAATAGAGAGTTACTGATCCTGCATCTTCCTCATATGTAAACGCCATGTTTGTCTTCTATTTAATTTTAACAGAGATTTGTATTTGATAGTGGCATTAGTGTCACTTATAAGATTTATCTTCAACTATTAAACATCCACAGGTTAACATTTTAACCACTGAAAAAGGGAGACAAGAAAACACAGACCAGGACAGTGTCCTGTCTAACCAATGATCAATATAAGGGTTATACTGTATGTACCCTAAAAAAATCCTGCCTACTCTATCTTTAATGTTGAAGTTTATTTCTAAGTTCCTATAGTGATAATCCCCATATGAATTGTTTTGCTGTAATGAACATAACAATATAGATTTCATACAGTCAAAAATGTTCCATGTTTGATGGATGTGTATTTTTTCCTCCATATTAATATTTCTGATAAGGAAATCCTTGACCCAAAGAAAACGTCTCTTCTCTGGGACGTGAACAGGAAACAGATGAGAAGTTAGCTCCTCCTTCTTCCTCCTCCTTTCAACAGCTGCACAAGATCTGATGGCAGTTTTTAGCCTGCACTAACCTGGATGTAAGTCATTACCCGGTAGCAGCACAGTTAACACCGCTGACATTACACATATATGACCTAAACATAAGACACAGCCGGAAAGAGAGAGAAACAGAGAGCCTCACAGGCAACGTTAAACATGCAGTGTTGAATAATAACACATCAACGCCGCGGGTTAGAGTCAATGTTACAGTTTAATTATAGTAAAAACAAACATCATCTGCGTTTTAATCATCGTCACTATCAACACTATCTCCATCATCTCCACCGTCATCATGACAACCAGAGTCTGTCAAACTGAAAACGGAATATCCACACCGACCAAGTGAGGTCAGCACCAAACCTCCTGTTTTGTTTTTCCTGAGAATCAAAACTCCTCTTTAACGTACCAACACGCAACAGTCAGACCGCTCTGTGATCCGGTTGCATCCGAACAGAACCGAACGGCCGCCTGTTGTTGTTATGTAGGGTAAAGGTGACAGCGACAGACTGCACGTCCGCTCTTGTTTACCTCTCGAACGGCTGCCCGTGTTTACGTTCGAGCCTCCAGTCCTGCATACACTGACGCACACGCCCACCACCACACACAGGGACACGTCTTACCCGCTCTGCCCTGGTTCTCTGTGAGCTTGGTTCGGCTGGAGCAGCCTCTCATCGTGAGCGTGATTCTGTTGAAGCAGCGGCGCTGAGAGTGACGGTGTCTACGTGCGTCCAGCAGCAGCAGCAGCTGCACTGATGCTCACTCACTGTACACTGTACTCGGTCTCTCACACACACTCACACTCACACACACAAGCACAGTAAGTGTGCCACACTGCAAAAGAAGACTTTTTTCTTCAACTGGAGAACAGCGATCAGGTGGATAAAGTCTACCTGAGTTGGCCCTCCCTCATCTATCCCTCCGCCTTCAAATCCCACCCCCAAGCCGCCGACAGCTATAGATAAACACGCTGACAGAAAATTATAGGGGGCGGGTGTGTTATATACTGTATATATATGTTAATACAAAAAAGGAAAAGAAAATGGAAGAAGTTTATATTAGAATTATATGATAGATCAGAGATAGTAACAGTAACTTGTGTTAGGTGACATAATCATAGTAGTAACATCATTAAAACAGGTGTACAAATATTAATATTAAAAAATATTTTTTTTAAAATGTTATAGCATTACATAGCTAGAAAATGAGTTAACAGATAACTAATATAAGGCTATACATATACCAGTTACAATTTAGCCAGAAAATAATCATTTTATAAATAATAATAATGATAATAATAAAGTTTTAGATGAAAACAATTCAGGATATTCAGGATAATCCTGAAGTTAGAAAACAATAAATACACCTAAATAATTTAAAATTAGCTAGTATCTATAATTTTGCAATCAACAAAAAGTTAGCAAGAAGTACCACAAAATCAGTTTAAGGTAATTTAGCTTTACTTACCAACAGACAAAACTACCCAAAAGTTCATGAATTCAACCCCAAATTATAAAGTCATCATTATCAAAACACAACATAACAACACAAAAATTAGATATTGAAGAAAAAGTAGTAATAGAAATAAGAAAAACTAACTGTCCAGTGTTTTTTATGTATTCAAATGACAGGCAATCTGTTGAAAGTCTTAACATTTGAAAGTAAACATCATTAAAACCCAAACTCTTTCTAAATGCCACATGATGTAATATAAAGTTGCAGTCATTAAGTTAAAAAAAACAGGAAGGTGTCTGTGTACCAGGGAGAGTGTAACCAGCTGAACTGGTTTGTTTCTGTAACGTGTCTGTATGAAATACCACTGTATTTGTGAAGTGTTTCAACGACTACCTGGAAAAACTCAGCTTTTACCGTCATCCAAGAAACACAGTCAGATCCCCGAAAAGCAACGCCAAATTGCATAACTGGGTGTCTGATTGAGTGTGTTTCGTTGTTATGACTAACATCTGTGCGTGTCATTGAGGTGTGACAGGAGCGTGACGTAGTATTTGTAATGTACGATTCAAAACGCATTCATTAAGAAGAAGAAGAAGAAGAAGAAGAAAAAGAAAAAGAACTCACTTTTTCTTTCTCCTCACATATAATTTAATTCTATGTCTTTGTCCAGTGTCGTCTCTGGGCAGGATGACCTCAGCAGACAGCAGTGGGTCTGACCTGGAGCCTGGCAGCAGCAGTCGACTTCATACACTTTGGCTGCTTGTTAAAAACATATAAGACTCTGGTCTGTTCAATGGCCATGGATGTACTGGAAGTCAGTAATGTGGCTTTTTATTTTGACCACGGCATGTTTTAACCCTGTATGAATAGTTAATAGTTTTTTCTTTATGCACACTGAAATATTGTAGATTTCCTCCATGGTTTTAATGAAACCCCATGGGCAATTTAAAAATATTTTTATGATTCCATTTTTAGATGGTACTTAGATTCAACTAATTGAATGCCCTTATGGCTGCTTTACCTACATATATGGCTATCTACGTAGACACACTCACACACAGTTGAGTTTTCATGAGGTGTGAGGACTTCACATAGACATAATGCCTTCTCCGTACCCTAAACGTAACCATTTCAAATCTTAATCCTTACCTTACCATGACCTAATTCCTGATCTAATTCTACTCTGAAATCCTTAAACCTAACAATTCCCTCTGTGGACCTCAGAAATACACAAGAACAAAGGCTCTCCACAAGGAAAGCTACACTCCGACCTCACACCTCACCCACATACAGTATATAAAGAAATAGTATAAACTATCATCTTTCACACCACCATGCCAGCACAGAGACCTTCTAGACCTTCTATTCAGAGTTCTTTGAAAAGCAGTGACTTGGTCTCTTATCAGCAACCACTGATATTGATAACACCAACCATCAGACAGAAGTTGTGTCACTGCATATTTGTGTCGGACACTCATCTCGCACAGACACACACACACACACACACACACACAGAGCTCCCAGGGGAAAAGACAAAGCTGTGGAGGTGTACAACAATGACGAGCATGAAACACGTGGGGTAAACGGTGCTCAAAGGGGAAAAGAATCAGATGGCTATTGAATGACCTTCAACAGGATCCGGTATAATGGACTACTTGCCCCCTCAAACATTTACCCTCCACCCTCGTCTCACATCTAGGCTACAGGCTGCACGTTCCACACATTGCCTGCGTCACACTAGTCCGACCAGTCTCTGCTGTATCACACTGCCTATTCATAGCTCGTCTGTAACAGTTGTGTGCAGAATAACACTTAAGAGCAAACTGATCCTCTGATGTCGCAGTCGTACCTCTTTTAACATGTGCAGAGTTATACATCTAACAAAATAAGTACAAAAATAAACAAGATGAGATGACTCACCATGGCCTCACGTGTGCCAACAGATTACCCATAACATCAACAACAGGATCCTAAAGCAGGGATTCGTGCTTGTTTTACTGACAGGAAGTTCTTCCCTTCAATTTGAATATCATACGAAGGTCAAGACTGATCAGACGAGGCATTTATTCCCAATATTTGGCAGTTTCAACAGTTGTGAGTGGTGGCCTCTGTTTCCATTAGTTCAAATAGTTAGACCAGTCTGTCCGGCAGCAACAAGCATTAGCAATTAGCATGAGTAAACAACTGGACAGCCATCACTCAATGGCATCTGGTGATGGCAGTTTAGGAGGGAACTCAGCTTTTTTTTTTTTTTGCCAGAACATTTTGAGAATATTTGGTTTTTTGAAGGCCAGTTGGCATGCACTGGGTTACATTACTGCCACCTAATGGAACATTTCCTACACATGAGCTGCTGATCAGTTGCTAAGTAAGGTCATGTAACAAGGAGAAGGAAGGGAATTCCTGCATATTGTACCTCCTCCAAAGATTATTAAAAACTAAGACCAGTGAGAAATTGTTGTGTTGTGATATTCCTCTCATCCTAATTTCAGTGCTCATTTACTTTTAATTAAGGATTAGTGACTGCTGTTGAACAACAAAAGCATGAAGCATGCAGCAATAGACTATTGTTGTGTCAACATCACTTTTGCAGCACTGAAACATGATACATGGTGTCATCAGGCCTGGACTTGTTTTTCAAATGAAATGGCTGACTTATGGGAAAATGAGTAGTCATTTATTCAGAGGAAATCTTTTACGTGTAAAATTCCACCCTTAAATATTTTTGAGAATTTCAACACAACAACAGTCAAGCGCAGATGAATCACGTTGTGTTTAGTTTCTGTTCAATGCTGACGTTTAACGTCAAGCAGGCGGGGACACATTGGCTTTACCCTCAACACTACCATGTGGGTTTCTGTTGGCTTTACCCTCAACACTACCATGTGATAAAACTGGGGGAAAGGTAGTGGACGTGAAATCTAAACAGCGGTCATTTAGGTTGACCTTTTTGACTTGAGCACTGAGTCATTTGGCTGCAACCCAAATAACTTCTACGCTGGCACTATTTATAGTAGCATCACAAAGCCTGCTGCCCACACTGCACAAACAAACGCTCTGAGGTCCAAAGTAAAACACATCCATCCTTAACACAGGAAAAGAAAACTGCAGCTCAGGTTTTGAAAGTTTGATTCATAGAAACAAATGAGATAAAAAAATACAATCTGCTGAGGCTTCTGTTTACTGCCACTTTTACTCAGCGTTCACAAGCAGGCTGACACACACACGCACACACACTTTTGAAATAAAAGTGTCACAAGTCATGTACGTCTCACAAGCAGTTGTTACACTATTGCTACTTACATAAGGTCTGTGTCCTCAGGGTGGCAGGGATCATGAAGAAACCTGACCTGCTGCATCTCAGGGCCTCGTCTTACAGACTGAACCTGAGAAGAGACAAAGACATTTAGTGCAAAAATGATAGAAGACAAAAGGAGACAAGAACCTGATCCAAAATTACATCACAGAATGTTTGATAAAGTTTTTATATCAAGTGAGATGTAGGCTCATTTCATATATAAACATTTCTGTCCATTTCTTATATATGGTCTACTATGTATGGTGCACTTGACGTTTGTATTCAGCTACAGAAAACTGCACCAGGGACTCTGTATGTGTAGTGACCAGAAAAAAAAATAGAATTGTTCTCACCTGACTTCTGACATAGTGACCAGAAAAAAAATAGAATTGTTCTCACCTGACACTGCTGGGTTTAGTTCCAGTTCTAAAAAGAATGAATGAAAGAATTAAAAGGTAAATAGACAGATAGATCGACAGATGGATTTGATAAGATCACTACTTGACTAAGTTATTACTTGTAAAAGGCCTGATCGTGGATAATATTTAATTTCGTAATTATTAGGGTTTTTTTTGTTAAGACAAGGGAAGAAATAGAGGTTGCTACAAAATGAATATAAACCACAGATATTGTTGTTCTGTTATGTTCACCTATTTCACAAGGTCTTCCTGGTCAGACAGTTGGTTTCAAAGGAAACCACATTCATTTAGTACCTCATTCCAGTTACCAAGCAGTTCATTGTGAAAGTTGCTAAAGTGAAGAGAGAACTTGTGACTGTGTGAAGTTAGTAGGAAATGTTGACATAAAATATTGCACTGGAGAACACATTGCTTTTTGTGTATTATGTGAATTGAAATATTTTTAAATTGCTATTAATTATTTAAAAAAAAAACAGAACAGTGTTTAGTTTGAAAGGTGTAATAGGTTTTAGAAAAAATTAACAACAGATTGATCGTAGATGACAACGAATTCACTTCAAATGAACAAGGCTCAACTCAAGGCCTTAGCATGTGACTTCATTGTGAAAATAAAGGTCTTCATCCATTTCTTAGATAGTCTATGGAGAATCCACAAAACTCAAGGCACACAGGCTCAGTGAATGTTTTTTTTTTTTTGCAAATAAAAATACTAAGGTTTGACATCAACATTTTTAAAAACATGTCGTGCTGTTTTGATGATCCAGAACTTTCAAGATTCTTATAGTGGATGTGAGTGTCATGAAGGCCTCCCAGTATATTATTGTCTGTCAGTCTGCCTGTCACATTGCTACAAAAGTTAAATATCAAACTGACATTTCAGGAAAATAAAACACAGACGTTGACCACAAATATTTGATAATATCTACAGCCCTGCTCTGAAACAGACAACACATTAATAATAATTAAAAACAAACAGGCCTGCAGTGGGAAAACTATACTAACAACTATGGTTGAGCAGCAGAGAATATTAAGTCATGACACGTCCTTTAGATTTACAGTTGCTCTCGTTCTAATGCAGTTCCCTGATATTAGAGAACACTCCCTTGACCATTCAGTCTCTCGTGTCCAGATAAAAAAATTAAAATCCTGCAAAAATCACAATCTTCAGCATTGCTCGTCTTTTCTTGCGTCTCATTGACTTTGGCACACGGTGGAGCTGCTCTTGGACCCAGCCGCTGCCTTCTTACGCCTCTTGTTGAGTAAGGGGTTACTGGAGGTGTCCAGATCCTTAATCTTTACTTGGTCGTAGTCCACACGCATGGTAGCCAAAGCACTGGTCATTTCTTCCTGTGAGAGACAAGGCAGAAGGAAAAGGTTGGTTTGTGGATAGCTCTTGAAAAACATTAAACATTTTTTAAACTCTATTTTTAGACAACAGCCTAATTAAGACTAACCTGTGTGACAACAAGGGCAAATTAAATACTGTAATTAGTGCAGCTCTGACTTTTAATGAGGGCCACAAAAAAAAGGCTACTGCTGCAGGATAGGGCCTGGAGAGTTGATGCTAACAGCAACAGCGAGAGCCTCCAAAGACACAGATGAAACCTTCAATTTCAAATAAAAAAAAGTTCTTTCATAAATTAAATGGCTGTAGGGGGCTTAAATGAGTTTGTAGTTTGCTATGCTTGCTTTAAATCAATAGACTCTTTCTGTGTCAATATATTCAAACAAAAACAGAGGTCAGCAGGTCAGCTCGGAATGTTTTGAGATAACATTTGGAGATGCACTGAAGCCACACTGGACAGGCTAGTTCTTAGAACACTGTTTTGTGTGTTGTGTTCTAAAGGGCGGGGGGTCAATGTAGGAATGCCAAAATGAGTGATTGTTGTTCACCACCGCACAGTAATTCACCTAATGGAGCCGAGAAAACAATAAAGGAGCAAAGGTCGGAGATAAAAAAAAACTGGTAATCAAACGTACTCTAGTTTCTGTAGAAGAAACACATCAGGTTTGAGAACTGATTCTAACAGACGCCCTGAGGTCATAAAGCCATTAAAACTCTCCCCTATACGTGGAGGCTGGAGGTCGTCTCGGGGTCATATTTAGTATAACAACAGCGCGCTCTCGTCTTCCTACAGGTTACTTTGTGACTCTTTAGATATGGCTGTTCTTGACGATTGCCCACTACAGAAAGAAACACAAGTCGTCTCTTGTGTCCATATCAATGTGGACAGGGTTCTTTACAAACTTTCTCAACATCAGATTCATTTGTCCAGATGCTGTGAAGGAATGTGTTTCTCCACTCATGGAGTGAGCGATAACCACAGTCTGACCTGAAACAATCAAACTGTTCATTTTCTTAGTTCACAGCACTTCGACGGATATGGTAGAAAGTTTGTAATGAAAATCTGGCTCAACACTTAACGAGATTTGACACCTGCTCCCCCTAGTGGTCACAAATAATAGTATATTTCAATAGGTAATAGCTGTACCGCTTACTGCTCTTGACACTGGTATGATTAATGGTGATGTACTGTGAAACAATACAACCAGATATTTGATTGTACAAGTTTTTATCCATGTTCATTCTTTTCAATAAATTAACATAAACTTTATTTGTCCACAAGGGGGGTAACATTTTTGTCAGATTGGAAAGGTTTTGGACAGGGTTGATAATTACATTAAAAATAAAATAAGTCAATATAATACTAAAGTTGAAGATGAGTTTTTGTTCAGTCATTTGGCAGAGTTTCTAACTTAAAGGCTGCCTGTATGTCAGCCTGTATGGGTGTCTGTAAGTATTTGTTTTGGTGTCTAAAAATGATTGTTAATGTCTGGTTAACGTGGGTGAAGCCTAATGTCATACATTAGACTGAGACAAGCGGTTAGGCTTTTAGGTTTACGTTTCAGTTTCCAAAAAAACAAGAAAATATAGTTAAACAGAAAGTGTAATGTGGACATGCGACCACAGAGAGTCAGTGTTGTGCTGCTTTTGACCTTGACATCCTCCCACATCTCTCTGTCTTCAGTCAGGACTCGGGTAGTGTGAAGTGGGGTTGAAGGAACCACTATGGATTGCTGCAAAAGAAGGAAAACACCCGTGGAATTATATAAATAGTTAAGCAAAAACCCAGTAGTAAACAAAACAACAACATGTTTGGACTTAACAAATCTTTACATTAATCCAGGGGTGGTTCATGAACTGGGCGATGGTCATTCTCTGATTAGGGTCAGTCTTCAGTAACTGGTGAATCAGATCTTTGGCTGAGAGAGTAAAGAAAAGAAAAAACAAGGGTCATGACATCATTGTAAAGATGGGTTAAACTGTCCCTGTTCTCAGGGAAAGTCCTCCCAATGTGAGAAGCTTTAAGGGTTTAAGACAGAAGAGTGACATAAGCCAGAAGGGGAAGTCAAAAAAATCCAAGATAGCTAAAAAACGTCTCTAGTCACACAAAAAACAAAACAACAAAGCTATTTCACTTAATATCCTCTAACCACATCTTAAAAACTTCAGCATAATTTTGTTTTGATCTGGAAATATATATAATTTATATAAATATAATATACTATTGCTAACTTTCACAACACCAGTGCCAAAGAAAGAGATGCTCAATAGGGCTAAATTCTCAGTTATCTCAGTTAAAACTTTCCCACTCTGTACAAATTTCCTGTGTACATCTTTTCATCTGTGCAAATTGGGTTTTCCCTAAGTCGTTTGCGTCAACATTTACCTAAGGGCAAAGAGCCACATGAGGCCCCTGAGCCAGAGGTTGGGCATAGTTGGTATTGCCAGTCATGTAACTCTAAATTAAAACAAATAGTCTCACAGACATTCATTAATAAATAGTTTAATGCAAACAGAAAACTGGAAATGTGTGTGTTTATTTCCTGTAACTAAGTCATTGACAGTCAATCCTGTGTTTGTTTGTTGTGTTGCGCTCAGGTCCCAGGTGGCTGCTGTGACATCTGTGAAAATGAAAATGAAACATCCTTTTCAAGTCGGTAACTCTAGAAAAACACCGGTAGATGAGTCAGCACCGACCATGGAATTCACAGCTAAAACATCTGTTTCTATTTGAGAATTTCTGTCAACGCAAACATATGGGACAAGAGCATCATGATGGTTAACTCACTTCCTGTTTTCGACTCGACAAACATGACGGTTAGGTGATGTCCACACTTAGAAACTATGTCACTGAGCATTTTGATACCTTTTTTCTTTCATTTTCCAAGTGACAAATTGAATTGGAGAGATATTAACAGTGGAATGATACGATTCATGTTGGACTTCTGTTTGTCTGAGAACAACAAAATATCAGTGTAACTAAAACTTTTTGTAATGGTTTGTAAAGTTTTGACCTGCAACTACTCAACATCACAGACATTAAGGTTTGTCCTTTAGTGTCCAGACATTGTTGCTTCTGTCACATTGATCTTATCTGAATATAATCTTCTTGCCGTTTCCAAACACGGAAATGAAAAATGACCATAAGAAGATTCTTACCTTCATGTGACACTTCAGACCACTCTGGTTTGGGAAACTCATACTGGCCCATTCGGATTCTCCTCTTCATTCCCGGTGAAATAGCCTGACCCGTGTTGGAGTAAAATGGCGGAAAGCCACACAACCTGCAGAGTTAGCATAATCCCAGTTTAGGATGAACTGATGGAACTGATGATTTGTACATCCTCCTGCCCAACGACAAACAGTACTCACAAGATGTAGGTGATGACACCTAGGGACCACATGTCACATGACATGTCATATTTTTCTGGACCCAAAACTTCGGGGGCTTAACGGTACCACACACAGACAGGAGGAGAGAGGGCGATTAGATTCACCACACTTATACAGTACATAGAGAAATACAATTGCTTGCTTTTTCACTATTGAAATGTTGTAACTGTAGTGTCAGGTTTTATGGTTTTATAGTGAATTGTTGTAACTGTAGTGTCAGGTTTTATGGTTTTATGGCCTAATACATTATAGTAAAGAGTTGTTCATCCTGTTTTATATTCCAAGTAGAGTATAGTGTATAGTACAGTGAAGTATGATATAAAGTCATATACAAATGTATTTATAGCATATACTGTATTGTCTTTTTTTACTTGTATACTTAGTATATATATTATAACTTTTGGATAAAGAGTATATGCTGTATTGCATTGTACAAAAAGTGGTATTTTGCAGCATTAGTATAGTATAGCATACCTTAATATAGAAAGGTATTAAGCAGAAATTTAAATCCTATCTTTTACAAATTGAAGTAGACAAAGTGTAGCACAGTCTAGCGTTGGGACCGTACCATAAAACATACTATGGCATAGAATATTATAGTATGGTATAGGGTTAATATACCAAATGTGCATGTAGCATTACAGCATATGTCGTAGGTATACAAGTGGTATATGATAGTGAAGTAAAATTATGTAGTATTGTATGACTTGTATTGTACATGGCTTTCCATAATGAGTTTGATTGTCAGTATTGGTATAGTATGAATATACATATAGAACACTATCAAATAAATGTGTACAGTACAGTACAGTTGAATGCAGTATAATATAGTACTATGACGTATACATATTTTTCCCCTGGAGTATGTAAAGTACTTGAACACTAAGTGGTAAAATGTGTTTCAGCTGACAGGCAGTAACTCACCCACGTAGTAGGGGGTATAGCAGGGCGTCTGCAGAGGGTTGTGTAACGTGGTCTCTTTGGCAAAGCCAAAGTCTGTCAGTTTGAGAATGGCGTTTCTTTCTTTCGTGGTGTACAGCAGGTTCTCTGGCTGGAGAGGGAGGCACACAGTAAACATACACCACAACAGGAACTCTTGTTACTTTTTGGTTAGGGATGTGACGACCATCTTTTCACACCTTGATGTCTCTGTGGGCGATGTTCATGTCGTGGAGAAATTTAATGGCTGTGCCGATGTCCCTCATAATCTCAGATGCCTCTGGGAACAAAACAGACAAACAGAATCTCTCAAACCAGAAGCAGTTCCAGTGTCACACAGCAAGAGAACAGCCCTCCGTGATACTGTCACTGTTTTATCCAGTATTGTCAAAGTCATCCAGTCTGCAGCCACTCCCTCATCTGTATTCACCTTTCTCAGTGAAGGCCTGGTCTCCTCTGGCCTGGATTCGACTGAACAGCTCTCCTCCCTCCATGCTGAACACAAAAAGTCTTTCATTAAATAAGTATTCATAGAAAGCTTTTGTCCAAATATGTGCAAAGTCAAAATCATGCTTTTTTTCTATTATCAAAAAATACCTAGAGGGCCCAAAGACAACAACTTCATAACAACAGCTCATATAATGTTTTTTTTTTTTTTTACAAAATTACAAATATTCTGTGTAATGTAGTACATTGTGGTATAGTGTAGTATAATATTGCAAGATACAGAATATTATGGCTCAGCATAGTATAGTGAAAAACTATGGAGAATAGTTCAGTATAGTTCCATATAAAATCAACGTATAGTACAATTTAATATTGCAGAATCAAGCATTGACCAAGGAGCTACAACATGTGGCTCCTGAGCTGACTGAGGCTCTTTGGCCTCTTTGCTTCCTGCAATGGACCAATTTTAAGATTACATAAAAATGGGGCTGAAATTATTTTTTTTAATTTTGTTTTTTACAAATATCAATGTTAAAACCAATTTATCTTTTTTTTTTGAACAGAAACTCTGTGTTCTCTGGGAAACATCTGAACTTAAACTGAATTTGTGACAGAGGAAGAGACGTGAGTGTGACTATGAGTTACTGTCTCCCCTTTTGACTCACTCACACAGGAAGCAACACACACACACACACACACACCCACACACACACACACAGGCTCACATATGTTGACACTTAGTCCAAATAAAAATTCCATTGAAAATTCATTTCTATTGTGTAAACGTCACAGTTTCACTGTTTTTGTGTTGCATGTTAAAACAAGGCACATTAACGGTATGTCCACTTTTTCTTTTTCTTTGGTAACTAGCATATCTTAAATAGATAATAATTTTAAACACTAAAGACTACAAATTTCATCTAATCTGACCACAACAACAACAAAAAAAAAACCAAGAAACCCCATAAAACTGATACTGATTTTCTCTCTGATCCCTAGAAAAGAAGAAAAAAATAGCTTTAACCTTAGCCTTAGCAGGTAGATGTCCTCACTCCAAGTGAACATGTCTGTCATAAGTTTGTTCTCAGTTCATGGGACAGCTGAGTCACACACTTTTTAATTAAAGAGTCATATAATTTATTTAATGATCAATGTTAAATATGTTTATAGACAAATGGGTGAACAGTTTATGTTTATGCTGTTTGTGCTCTGTTATGATGTTTTACTGAAGGGAACTGTGATTCCTACCATTCCATGATGATTAGCAGGCATTTCTTCCCATGATGCATGTTTTCATAGAGGTTCAGGATTTTGACGATGTAAGGTCCGACTGAGACTCGCCAGTGAAGCTCCACTTCCCGCCTCGCTTTAGGACTGTCGTACAGAATCTGGGAGACAAAAAAACAAAAAAAAGAGAGTGAGGTTTGAGATTTCCACAACAGAATTTTAGCATTTTAGCTAGCTTAAAATAAAGTAAAATTTCTGATTAAGTAAGAATTTATGAAGTTTATGATAAGGACAGGAAACAGGAACAAATGGAACAAATGGACAGGAACAAATGTGTGTGTAATATAGGAGCAAATGCTATAAATAGCTAATTAAATTAGCCCTAAATAAGTGAAATTAACTTTAGAGAACATTGTTCCTTTGTGTTTCTTTATTTGTTTGAGTTTGTTTGACTTGTTCATGACGTCCACTTTATACAGAACACACACCCTGTGTTGTTCTTAAAAAGATAATTTTGCATTTGATACAAGCAGATGTCACAGGTCTCCATGGACATGTTTGAATCTCCTGGTGACACGTCTACTGCAATGTGCTCACACAGTGGCCTCTGACACACACGGCAGGTGGGAACCTTCACATAGCACATGCTTCCAGTCATGGTGTATTTTGGGATTTGGTGTGACAGTGACAGACTGGTCCTCTGCTGATGCATCACATGCACATGTATAAACACACAGCACACATAAAGCATTTCCACGGACCCTTAGCCAAACTTCAACTTTTACAATCATATTCCTAATCCTAATCCTTACACCTAAACTCACTTTATATCACTGGGGACCTGCAATATGTCCCCGCTACTGTGAGAGTATCTATACCAGGAACACACACACAGGCATGTGCACAGGTTTTAGCCAGACCAGGCCAAAGGGGTCTATTCCCGCAGACAGAGTGTTCCTGACTGATCTGCCTGTACTTTTGATCTGTTTTTGGCCACGGCTAGATGAAGAGAAGAATCTGCAGCTGGAGACTTTTATGGCAAAGACAGGGGGGAAAAAAGAACAAATACAAATACACCTGTACACCTACATGAACAGTATCAAAGAATATCCTCAGTTTAAGTGAACGTCTTGTCTAATCAAATAAATTGACCGATTGATTTCCTTTGTCATTTTAACTTTAACTTTTAACTCCTTTACCAAATTACAGATTTAACTTTCTGTTGCAATTTAAAGAAATAAATAAATAATGTGAGTGCGAGTGCAAAATGAAAGGATGCGTTAATTTTCAGAACTGTCCAAATGTCCTCGACACTCTCTGACTCTTTTCTCTCAGAGACGATTTGTGTCACAGTTCATCTAAAAGGGATGAGGAAGTGAGAACTCACAGCCAAGTGGGTGTTGAAAGTAGAAGTTGAGGGTTTCCGTTGACTACTTCTCTGACCCACTCACACCACTGCCTGAACCCTTTTCCACTCTACAACAATTATTGAATCTGATGCCTCTGTGAGAAGCAGGAGATTGTGAGGTCACTGTCATTTGTACAGCAGCTTTACTGCTTGGATCAGAGTCAGTGTTAACAGTAACATGACAATAATGAAAGAATGATAGAAACAGTGAAAAGAAGCAGATTTTTCTGAGCAGTTTCTTTATGACCAAACATTTATCATGGTCACTTCCTGGCTTCACAGTAGACAAATGGATATTCACCCTGGTTTTAACATCTGAGTCAGCTGTTTAGCTGTTTAAAAAAAAAAAAGTAAAAAAATGTACTTTTTTACTTTTTGGACATTTGTGTAACTTTTTTATACCAAAGTCCATTCACGAAAGCTGGAATTTGTTTAAGAGCACAGAGGAGTTATGGAACAATTTCTGCCTCCATCAGCAAGTTTTCATGTGTTACAGTGCGACTCCAACATCAGACATTCAGCATGTTTTTCTGTTATTGACAAAAACCAACATAGTGTCTAAACAGCCAGGTTTACAGAGAGAATGAACGTCTGGTCTCAAGCCTGGACGTAACCTTATTAGACTAGTACCATTCGTCATCGTAGCACTTCAACTTGTTTGAGCTATCTCTTCAACACACCTCCTCTGTTAGCATTCACAGTTTCACAGAGAACTGAAAACACGTTCTCACTTCCTGTTTCCCAAAATGTTGATGTATTTGTAGGCATGTCAACATTTGGGCATTGGTTTGTACAACCATTATCACAACACATGATGTGGTGACAGCTGTGTGAGTACTGCACTGTACTTTACTGTACTATACTGTACTGTACTGTATGTATTTAATCAGATCCTATTAAACATGGGAAACACTGCAGTGTCTTTAAAACAGTGACACAACAATTTAATTAATTAATAATTAAATAAACAACTCTATGATTTTTTTTTAGCAAATATTAAACAGGGATTGGCTTTAATCTTGTGGCGGACTTTGGAATTTAAGAACATCCGACACTAAAACCATACCACGCACACACGCACCCTCACAAACACTAACTCTCTTTTATCTTGGTTAAACAGCGCACACGCTCCTCATAAAGTTGACATCAAAGTGTCATAATGAGCCAAACAGTTAATCAATAACCAATAGTAAGAAGCACCAGTGTATTCCAGTCTCAATTAAAGACTTGGTCAGCATTGATTCACAGATTTGTTAAATGTATGTGTTCGTTTTAAAATATAAAGGAGTCACAGAAATGCAGGTCAACTTGGAATGAGTTCTGCTCGAGGTAAATATTTTGTGGGTTTAACGGGGTTAAATGGTTTGCTATTGTAAAAAAAAAAACATGTTCCCGTCATAAAAAGTTAAGAAATACTTTTTATAGAATACCGCAAAGCATTTATCTCTTTCTGAATGCCGATGATCAGCCAATAAAAAAGACAAGATTGCTCAACCCAAAAGTGATGCATGCCATTAAGATACCTTCTCCAGGAAGATAATAAGCTCCAGTTGCATAAAAGTTTCTCTGGGATTCAGTACAGATTAACTTCAGTTTCACTTCACAACTAGCTGCCTTTATTTTATTTTATTTTATTTTATTAAATTAACTCCATACAATTATAGACTAAGAATGTTCATTTAGGTCTGTGTGTGTGAGACATCTCAGATGTGTCGCTGACATTTACAAAGACGTCTACAAAGGTGAGCAAATACAGTGAAAGTCAGACCTCTGAATGCAAGCTTTTGTTCAGCACACAGACCTGTGGATTGGACAGCAAAGGTAGGGGACATTCAGAACAAGACAAACTAAAAAAAAAAAAAAACTTCAAAGAATGGTGTAGTTTCTTGTGTGTGTAACACTTCCCCTTTACACAGTAAACGTCTGGCGGCACCAACGCAAAAAGGGGAATAACTGAATTAGCACAGCTGACACAAGGCTCGTATTTCCGGATCTAAAACTAAAACTAAGGTTTCTAAAATTTTATTAAGCAGTTCCACAACACACTGACAACGGAGCTGGAGAGCACTGTTGCCTTCATCACTGAATTCAGAACATTTTATTATGATTTCAAATATTAGGAAGTCTTTTTTTCTTTACAAACTCTGGTGTGGTAAAGTAAGTGCTTTATGAAGTGTGGTTTCTCACTCAGACAAGAGTATGATGGGTGTAAGGATCAAATCTGGGAATTTAATCAAGATTTTCTAATAATCCTTCAATCATCATTGAATTTATCACTTTGCTGTATTTATTTATTGCTTTTTTCTGCTTTTTAGACATTGTTAACTCCTTTATAGCTATTCCAGGTGCCCTAGATCAGTGGTACCCAACCCCCGGGCCACGGACCGGCACCAGTCACATGTTTTACCTACATCCACTACCTTCTTAAAAGATCTGCTCCGCAACACATAAAACATTACCCCAGCACTTCAGCCTCTGCTACTTCTAGAACCTATTCATAACTGACCATTGGTCCACATGCATCCCAGAGCCAACCTCAGAGTGGCCCGGTCTAAGGAAACTGACCGAATCCCAATTGGCGCGTAATCAGAAAAATCCTACAGATGTCAGAGCNNNNTAACCTCTGTAGCCTAGCAACGTACAACCCACAATGCATCCCTTGTATGTCTTGAAGTATCAGTCCCTCTCAAAAAAAAAAAAAGAAACATTTTGGAAATGAAAATGATTAGTTTCACCCATCATGGACCAACAAATGCAACATACACACCTGGCTTTGGCGCCAACTCCAGGCTACAAGCCAATGTGTTTAATTAACAAAGAGTGTGTAGGGATATGGTCAACATCAATGTTGTTCATCATATTGATATGTTTTGGTCCAAAGTTACTTCCTGTTTGTCAAACTGATTGACAATCGATGAAAATGAAGAAATTAAGAAAAGGACAATTTGAACTGATGAAAACTCATCTGTATGAGTTAATGCATATTTTTTGTCTGATGTGACAGGTGCTGTTAGAGAATTCATATCAAATCTGTCTTTCTCTGTTTCTCCCTTGTTGCAGTTTTTAAATCTGATGACTGTTATCGAGTTGCACTTATTGGATTGCTCCCCTGCAGCTCTGTTGCAAAGTGGATTAAACATCTATCCATCCATTATGTTCAGCACTCAGAGCCACACTTAATTAAAAAGCCAAAACCAACTCATACCCCGACTCCCAGTGCTCCACCACATCAAACATTCCTGATTATTTCCTGTTGCTTTCCATTTGTCTCAGTATTAAACACAGGGATCGGATTCTACATTAGCTTGAATGATAATAAAGTAGAACAAACAAAAACAACCCTATGGGGTCCACTTTAAAAAACCTCCAACCAGCTGTTTTTTTTTGTGAGCTCACATTCACATGAAAGCCAACAAGAACACTGGAAAAAGGACGAAACTAAACACTTAAGTGTGATCGAGCGTTTCCCTTGTCATGATGAAGCAGGTTTGTAGGAGACTTCAGAGTGCATTCAGAGTGTTTGGGTCACGCTGACCCTCCATAAAAGCTTTTTACTGTGACTGGGTGCCCCACGGACAAGTACGAAGTCCATCACTGGGATACATATAGTGACGAACAACCATTTACCCGCATTTATTAACACTGAACACTTAACTTGTGGTGTGGCAAAAAGCACCCTCGGGCTAAACTAGCCAAAATAGGTTGGGAACCAATGATAGAAAACCAAGAAAACCTCAGCAGATTGTGGTTTGGGAACAAAACAAGCACTCTGATTGGCTGAGGATATAGCCAATAAGGCACAGTGAATAGGCAGCATTAGAAAAAAACAGATATTGAAATTTGACTAAACTTTGACCATTGAAGACAATCATGCTACGATGCTAACGTAAAACCCCAAAGGAAACTAATTATATAATCTATATTCATTTTCCTGTACTAATACCGCATGTCCCTGCTGTGTCAATATTTATTGTGCTTCGTTGAGATAGCGTTGGTTACATGTTTAATTATTATGTGTGACTTATCACTCTAAAGTCATATTCTCTGTACACATCACAACACCACATGTCATATAACAGCTGTGTTTAACTCATAAATCTTTGCCATTAGTCAATAACTGCTGTACACTCCACTGTGCCTGGAAATGTGTCTGTGAAAGACCAGTACCCTCATGCTTTAAAGCACTGTTTCCCAAAGACTGGGTCGCGACCCTCAAGTGGGTCTGGGAATAGAGAGTAGGCCTACGCGGTGGCGATTGCGGTCATGAAAATAATCCTCATTAATGTTCAATAAGGGACAAGCACACATTTATTTGGTGAGTTACGAAAAATGTCTATTGACTTTGGTCGTGAAGGTTTGTGACTTTTAAAATATGGGTCCCCAGAAAAAAAGTTTGGGAAACACTGCTCTAAAGTACTTCAGTATTGAAAGTAAAGTATGAACTCTTTTGAAAGGTTTTTTTCCCTAAATATTTCTGGAGCATCTTTCCCTGGTTGACCCTGCTCTGGTATGGCATTAAACATAATGTTTAATCTCTCCCTTGAGTTTAGCCATTGTAACAACTATCATCATTATCTATCTCTGTCCCTCTTCTCCATCCACAGCTGCTGTTAGCTTTGTCAGCTCACGTCCAGATGGATTACTAAGACACAATTAATCTTTCACTATCAACTTGTGAAGACAGGTGGGACGGCCCAACAACCTGTGTCGATCTTTGTAGACGGAGCACATGTGTCAGAACCTCAGCTATTTCCAGGATGAGGTGTCAGTGTCCACAGTGAAGCAGCGTGTCGCAGTTTACAGACGGGAAACCATGCAACCTGTAACGTTCATCTGATCCAGAGTAAGATTAAACTTCCTGGAAGAACAACTGGTGCTCGGCACGTGTCGGACATGTGAGCATGATGTATAAAGTACATGGTACACAGCAACAGATACATCCCAAACACCGAAAACCTCCTGACTGAAGACAACTTCACAACAGCTTCCTGATACTAACATTTTTCAAGCTTAACTTTATCCACGTGACACCAGAACTTTCCAGGCCAAGACCGTTTTATCGCCTGAACAGTCCTTGCAATATCTGCTCAACATCCTCCTTGCAGGACAAGTCACCAGTTTCAGCTGTTTTTTGAGAAAAACAGGCGACCACAGACATAAACACTCTGTAATACTGTAAATGTCTCTCACTGTATAGCTTTCTCTGACTCGCTCGTCTTCTTCAGAAGAGTCACTTGATATCACTGTCCTTTCAGCTGTTTTTACAACAGAATTATGACAAGTTATTTCTTTAAAAAAAAACAAAGATCAAAATTGAGGTTTCGTGGTCCTTGCAGTCAGTTATGTGTGTGTATGTGTCGCTGATCAATTGACGTCAGTCATTTGTGATAATTTAGATTATTTAACAATGGATTTTTAATGGGATAAGTCATGGCTTTGTTTTGAAGTGTGTCAAGTCATTGTTATTTTATACAACATAAATTCTGTATAATACTACAATGCTAAAAGCTAGTACAAAAATTTAAAAGTAGCTCAATAATTAAAACATTTTTAAAAAAACCTTAAAATTAAAAACAAATTTAATAAAATTATTATTGACATATAGTCACAGTCCAAGTGTGGGAAGTACGTGGTCTGGAAATTGCCCCCCAGCCAGGAGTTTGAGGCCAATATGCTAGTACATTTTAAAAACCTTCAAATTAAAAACAACCAGGAGCCAGGAGTTTGAGGCCAATATGCTAGTATCTGCGAATTGTGGAACAGGGCATTCAAATGTGTAATTAGCACCACCTACAGACCAGGAGAGGGGAGTAACAAGCTTGAAAATGTATAAGTGAAAAAACTACATTACATTCCTTTAACAATTTTTGGTTGTGTTCGCGATGTTTTATAGCTGAATATTTAAAAAAAATAGTTTTGACATTTTATTACAGAGGAGGTCTGTTTTGATAAACCCATCACTGTGAATTCTCCTAAAATATCAGGTGTGAAACGGTGTTTATCTGTGTGTCGGGTGTCTGCTGTACCTTCAGTGCGCACTTCTGTCCTGTCTTCTTATTGAAGCACTCCAGTACTTTGCCGTTGATCCCTAAACCCAGAACTTGACTTGAAATTTTATAATCGTCCGTCACTGCGTTACGCTTAATTTCCAGTTTGGGATGAACAGGCATGGGGAAGTGAGTGGGCTCAGAGTCCGGGTCTTCCTCGTCAACTGTGGGAACGTCAGACTGCGGTTCTTTTTCAGCGGCGGCAGCGGCGGTTGGAGAGTCCGGCTCTGGCTCAGCCTTCGGCGCTCGCTCCTTCCCGTTTCCATTCTGTAGCATTGTCACACACAGAGAGACAGAGACAGAGAGAGAGACACTCGCGGTGACCTAGAGTGAGCAGCGGTTCTCGGCAAAAGAGTGAGTAATTGTTCCAAGTGCTGCGATGACCGGTCACTGCGTAAAAAACGCCGAGAATCTTCTAGCGCGGATGTCAGTTCTGAGCGCCAACGTACCTCCAAACTGTGGCTAAATGTATACAACCGACTTTTTAAAGCTTTACGCTTTTTCAGGGAATAAATTAAAAAGTGTTACACACAAGGACGGCAGAATAAATACAGTCCAGTCAAGTTAATGTGCTGCTGAAGCTCCGCTCATCGTAGTTTCCTGGCTGTAGTCATGACACATTAGGCTGCGTTCACATGGCTATTCACTGTCACTTTCCACAGAAGCGCCACCTCCTCCAGTCATTCATCTCAAATGGCACAAAGAAGCCGTCTTAAAGGAGCAGGTCGTAAAGTTCCACTAATGAAGCAGGAAGACGTTTGGTCAGACAAGTGAAAAAAAAACTTATTTTAAGGAGAAAAATCCACAATATCAAAGAGGAAATGCAGGAAAAATGTCATTTAAATTGCAATACATAGAACTTTGAATTCCACGTACAGATAATAACACTAAAGAGAGGATTTTTAAAAACATTGTTTATAGACATGCAACCACTTAGATATAGGCCACTGGAAAATATTAGCCTGATCGAATCAATCAAAGTGCAAGGTACAAGTCAAAAGGTTACATGTTAAAAAATGTTTTAAAAATAAGTGCTGACATTCTAATTTTTTTCTGAGGTAAAGAGGTATAGTATAACATAAAGGATGTCGCTGCAGATTTAGAGTATGACCCTGGTTCAAGTCATGGAGACTCTTGTTAAAGAAACACATACCAACCATGCACACTGGTGTCATGCTACCAACCAGGTCATGTTGCAATAACTTGTTGTGATATTTTGAGCAGAGTTGGAGTTGAAATAACCAATGCAAAAATGTCCCCTTACTTAACATTAACATTAATACCAGTTGTGGAATTGTAACATAAAAAAACTTCAATTTTTATTATTTTTTATTTTCAATGCAGATAATAAATTGTTATTTAACAACTTTTCCCAAAGGGAGACTGTACAGACCATAACTGTGGTGGGGGATGGTTATGTTCCCCTGAACGATTCTCCTAAACGATTTTACCACATGTGGAAAACTGCAGCAGAGGATTTGGGAATGAAAACATGTCAACCTGAAGCTGTGGTCGGTTGATATTTATTGAATTACAAACACAGTCAGAGCCTTGGCCTCAAACTAATGAAAAACATAAGTTTGAGCTGCTTTAGTTTATAGTTTTATATTACGTGTTCTTCAGAGAGACATTTCCAACACAGTTGGATTAGAGACGCCCAAAAGAAGCACAGATGGCAGAACAGTAGATCTGAGGTAACTAAATACTAACATTACTGAGATACCTGAGATAAATGTCCAAGGCTGAATTTAAAGAAAAGACAACAAAAAAATAGAAGAATTTCACATGTAGTGCAATGGTAAGTTAGCAGCAGTGGGGGCATGGGTAGGAGTAAACATGGAATAGCAAGTAGAGGTTATTAAATAAAATTTAAACTCTGTCAGTAAATTCAAAGTCTTAAAGTAACATAAATTAAAACTCAGTAAATTCAAAGTCTTAAAGTAACACATTTATATAGTATTTACAAGCAGAGACAATATTATTTTTTCACTATGGGCTTGGACACAGGGTGGGAGGTCATGCTGTAACCAGTCCCAGTAGGATGTGTACTTATGCTGGTGCTGACAATGGGACACATAGGAGTGTCCCAGTTTGATCAAGTGTTTCCACGACCTGATAAAAATCTAGGTGGTGGAAAATTTCCTCAAAATAAAAGTCAGAAATAATAAAGTGGAAAACACTTTTTCCCACTCCAGTTCTCCAAAGAGTCTGAAGCAGCAGCTCAAGGTGCTGTCTACGTACCGTGGTTGGAAACCATAGCACTGCACTTTCAGAGGCGTCTTGAAACAGGACACTCAACGCAGTCTATTTTTGGTGAGTAATAACCACACCAAAAGAAGATACACAAACGCAAGTCAGACATGAGCAATGTTTTTCACCACCGTGCTCGTATGATACAAGAGAGTTAGCATTTGAATACAGGAACTATTTCACAAAAGCAAACAATTCCAGTACCAAAATGATTAGCCTGTTGAACATTAATCACAGACCACATCGATTCAGACGAGCCTTGAACAAGTTTCTGTCTAATCTCCACAGAATTCCAGCTCATTCCTCTTTGGCTATAAATGTCAACGTCCTCCAGACAGAATTTTTCTGCAGATTATAAGTCAGGGCTTTTGAAGGTGAATTCAGTGAATTTTAACATTTGCCTTGGGTTAATTTGATTTTAAATGAAAACCAATGATTAAAACCCATTTTAATTCAGTCGACTGTGTGAGAATTTAAAAAAAAATCTTTATATCTGTTGCATCACAAGATCGTGAAGCAGCTGAAGCATTCTCACAGAATCAGTCTTTTGGAAAGATAAACCACAGCTTAATTAGATTTTTAATCCATATCACTGATTTGTGTTATAAATCAATAGGACAACAGGTCGGCTCTGAAACAGGGTCATCAAGAGTCTCAACCTGCATATCAAATGTCTCACTATATTATTGTCTCTTGAAAAAGAAACAAAACAAACACACACACTATCTCTCACCCTCACAGACAACGTTACAGCTGTTATTACAGTCCTTACATATCATTTTGTCCTGAAGTCTACAGTTTCACCACCTCACCTGAAATAAATATATAAGATTACATTTAATTATTGTTTTTGCTTTTGGAACAAATGTTTAAAGAATTCACAACGAGGTGTTTGTTGTTGACTGTGGTCATGTTGAAGACCTTTATTTCAGCCAAATATTCCTTTTTTTAATTAATTTGTTTTGTTTTTCTAGTACAATCTACTCAACAGAGGCAGATAGAACATCTTAGTGCAGCCTCCTCTGCGACTGCGTGTGTTTACTACACCTTTGAACATTCACTGCGGTGCCTTGCGAGAAACTCTGTCCCAGCTGCACAGCTCCTGAAATAAGAGTACACAAGAAGTAAAAGTCTTTTCCCTCAGGGGATCTGAATAATAGCTCAGCCTTTTTGTTCAAATAACTAGAACAAGTTGTACGACTTTGTCAATGGTGGAACAAATGCTTTGTTTTTTTCTCTGCTCTGGTAGAATTGAATCATTGTCGACAGCAGTCGATTGTTGTTCCTGCTCTCTGTCTTCAATATAGTGTTTAGCTTCCTTTTGTCCCAGGAAGTGGGACAGGAAGTCTGTTTTTTTTTTACTCTACACTACAGAAGAACAGAATATTTCAGAAAGAGAGTCCAAAATAACTGCCATTTATTAAAAATACATTGATTCAAAAAATGCGACATTTTAGATAAAATAGTAGAAATAGAGAAATAGGAACAAAACATATGGAGCAAGAAAAGCAAGAAAATAACTTTATATTCTGTGGTGAGGTAAAAACAGATGAGACTGATTTTGAGTTGACCTTAACGTCTCCAGGAAGTTTAATTAACGTCATGGTAGAATTTTAAGGGAAATGACACTGAGGTTGCGATGATTCATATTTGAGAATATTCTGCTCTCTCAGGTCCCAAGTCTTCGTGATCGTGACAACGGCACCTTAATTTGATCTACTGTTGAAACAACAGTGTCAACAGAGGTGTTGATCTTTGGATTTTCTCCAGAGTAAACGTAGCCGTAATGTTGCCATATGTTTGCAGAGACTTATTGCTCAGTTAATTGCATCAGTGATAATATCTAACACAGCAGCCAGTAATGTAGAAAACACATGCTAATGTCGGATAAAGCAGCACAGACTTTAGACGCTGTGTAGGTTTGTCAATGTTTGCTAAGCCCATTAGCTTTGGCTTTATCGTACACCATGCACACATGTTTTCATAGTTGTCTGTTAGCTCTGGTGCCGCACTGAATTTGTTCCTTTGTTCAGGAGTAAACAAAAACAATTAGCATTAGGGTCGCCATTCTTAACAAAACCAATGACGATGGACTAATACTGTGAGCCATTGATTTTTAATGACTTCCACCAGGGTCAGAGGAAGTGCACAAAGAGAGGGGAAAGAAAAAGGCAATTCCCAGGTATCCCTGTGGACCTGATCCAGCCATGAAAAGATGGTCTGTGACACCACAAAGGTCAGCTGTAGGTCAGGACCAGGACTGAGAACAAAGAACCAGTATGAGGAGTTAAAGGGAACTTGTCTGTTGGGGAAAAAAACAGAAAGAAATACGGAAGAAGATATTATATATATATATATATATATATATAATTATTTGTTAGCCTTATTCCAGATGCATAAAAAATGCCAGTTCCTGTTTTGGAGTCTTTGGAGTGTAAATTACTCAACTGTGTTTCCCTCTATGCCCAGCAGAGGGACACATTAGGCCAAACATCAAACATTCACAGGAGGGATTTTCACAAAGTTAAGCCTGGGCAACATACGAATTCTACAGAAAGTTGATAAGCTTCTGTAAAATGAAATTAAAAACAATAATTTGGTAACAAATAATTAAATACCCCACCAATAGGTGTCAGCAAATGACTAGAAATAAAAATGAGAGCTCCTTGGAGCTGATGAAGAAGATCGTGACTGTCTTTCACCAATTCCTGAGGATATCATCGGTTTTATACTGAGTAAGTACAGTGTGAGTGATGTGCAACTAGGATATGTCACATTTTATTTCATATAGTTTTTGGGTCATTTTTACTTAGTGGCAGTATGGGATGTTTCTAAGGTATAATTTAGGCCTTTGCTCCAAAAAAGGTTTGGAGACGCTGGTCTGTGTAATGCTGTTTCCAGTGGCAGAAATGATGCAGTGTGTAATTGAAATTCACACGTGTGAGATTCCGACACTGTGGGTTGTGATCCAACCTTGTTTGTTTCTGATGGTAAGGGGGAAACAAACAAGGTTGTGATGGGCATCATGCACTCTGGCCCCAGCTCCTGCCTCCGGCCTCTCCAGAGCGGCCTCAGATTGGGAAGCCATCCATAAAGGATCAGCCTTATGTGTTCAAACCCTCACGTGTCACTTGTGAAGGACATGCTACGGTGCAGATGGTGATAAATTGAGTGGAGTGAAGTAGCTGAAATATGGACCATGTGAAAATCAACTGTCAACAATCAACAGTTTACGATGGTCAGTGATGGGAATCAAGAGGACAAAGGGGTCAAAAGGTGACCTACATTGCACGCAGTTCTATGAGAGGGTCATTAACAACACATACAGTACAGTAGAGCCAAAGAGCAAAGGTCAAGTATACAGGATGAATTGCTGCAGTGTATGGAACAGCACAGATGGGCCAATTAAAAACACAATGAAGCC